GTAATGCACCAAAAAACCCCAATGAAAACCCAAAAGGACTGGGAAAGGGCAGCCTTGGAGAGGGGACGCCTTTTTCTGTTTTTGTTTCACAAACAAAGAAAAAAAAAAAGAAAAAGGAATCGGGGGTAACGGGGAAGGGGGGGGGGGAAGTTGTGGGGGGGGGGGGAAGGGGGTGCTAAGGGAGAAACGCCAAACACCAGAAATAGTTGTTAGAAAATTTAACTTGAGGTGATTCCCTAGTAAAAGAACCTAACATAGATTGTGGATGAAACTTGGTACACTGATGTAACAAGTCAAGAAAATGATAAAAAGGTAATAAAAAGTGGGGGTCACCGTGCTCGTTTTGACGTCACAATGGTGATAAATACGGCTATTTTGGACCCTTTGACAAAAACCGCGCGCAGCCCAAAACTAGACAAAAAGGAAAGATTTTTTCAATGATGCATGTGGTACCACACAGAATTTGACTTTAACGTATTGTTTATCCATGCCTTTTAATGCCCTTGTTTTTACTTTACACTCCAAAGTAGAATTAAATTGGACACGCGCTATTCGACACATGATAGCTCAATCCGTACAATTTAGTAAAATTGCCAAAAAACTGAACATAGATTGGTGCCAATTTTTTTCTCACCGAAAGGAAGCGCTGTCCTTATTAAAATCGTGAAATAAAAAATGGGGGTCACCGTACTCGTTTTTGCGGTAGAGCTGCAGAAAGTGTGCACCACATGCATTTTCCTTGATTTTTGAGAGAGGACTGGGGCGAGTTTCAAAATAGAATGTATTTGAAAGAGGGAAGAAAGTATTAAAAAATCCGTTTTTACAGAATTTACATCGAGATATCACATTTAGGACACAATGTGATAAAGAAAGCATTTAAATGAAAGTCAAAGTGAATTTGAGCACAAATTAAACATCCACTATATTCCCACCACATTGAGTCTCACCTCGGCAAGAAACAACCGCAAGCAAAAATCGCAATAGCGTTTCTCTTCGGTCAACTTCATTTTAATAATGTTACTTCACATGCTCTTTTTTACGGAGGCCATCTTGTTATGCCCAGTAAGAGATGCGCAGTGCAAAACCAGGGAATCACCTTAAATCAAAGATGAGAGTTAGTTTGGGCTTGGTGGCTTGTTTGCCTTTTCTGTTCTCTGCTGTTATTATTCATAACACAAACGTTCCTGAAATATTTTAGGTGTTTAGGTTCTTCTGTCAGAGTTTGACAGTAATGCTATTAAATGAATGAATTAGAATGGTAAATTGATGCAAATGAAATATTAGGACAGTACTGGCAGAGCTAGCTTAGTCGATACAGCACTTCACTAAAGTGCTGGAGGTCCTGGGTTCAACCCTTGGGACCAGACCAATTCTCAAGGTCTTTAAATAGCTGAGAAAAGAAGATAATGCCTTGCCCTGCAAATGACTAGACCTTTGTGTGGCTTGGATGATAAAGTATAAATGTTAGTCTCATCTTCATGCAGCCGCAGACATAAAAATAGTGTCCTGAATAAGTACTTTCCTCTAAATGCTGTAACACTCAAATAAAGTGCAATGTTTGCTATTTTAAGAATAAAGCAATTATGATCTAATGAGAAGGTCAATTTGTTATTGTATTTTATTTTGTGCTTCTGTTGAATGATTTGTTATTCTTTATTGCCGGATTCACTGATGATCATCATAGTCTGATTTTCTTTTCTTAATGTGTAGAGTGGGATGACATCAAGAGCAATTGAGATGTCTTCACAACGTCTGGCTAAATGTCCTGAAATTTTGCAAAAGGGTAAGAATGTGCACTTGCCCAATTTTTTAAGCCACTGAGTTTATTAGATTTTTAGAGTGTAAGGGTCTTTTGTAGAGGACCCAGCTGTCACTCCTGAAGATTTTGGAAGATGTTCTAAAGTTTATGAAGACACTCAGTTGGAAGATTTCCAATGTCTTATTTCCCTTTGTAAATAGAAATTTTGGAGAAAGTTGAATCATTCACCTGAGGTCTTTACTTCTGGCATTCATTTGACTTTATTCAGTGAAAATATATGAGACATACAAGGTTGTCAGAAAGTTTTGAAGTAGACAGCTGAGTTGTCAAAATAAGCAGCCAGTCAAGGAATATTTTATTTAAAAAACGTCATCCGTAAAAAAAGGCCAAGCAATTAGTAGCCAGCAGTTAATAACCAAGTAGGCGGTGATTTTCGCCGGCAGTATTCTACTTTTGACAACCCTGGACATATGAGAGTAAAGCTGTTATTGGTGAATGGTTTTTCTGCCGGGCTATCGGGCATGAGCTGGCATAAGATGAAGTTTTGATCTGCAGTGAGAGACTCATATTAAGGACACGTGGGAGTTAACAGGTCCAAGAATAATGTATAGTTGTGTACAGTCACTGTACTGATCTTCTTAGTTTTTCAATCAAGTAGCCACCAGTGGGCTGTTGCATATAGGTCATCATGCCCCTGAGGAGATGCTGGTATTCTGATGGGATGAGCTGCCTTTTTTATTCAAACGTCAGTAACATTAATTTTTTTTCTCTTTTAGTTACGTTTTTGAGTTTTGATGTCAAGGAATGGGTTGTTGAAAATGACTTACTTGTGCAACGGTTAAAAGTAAGTATAAAAGTAACTGTTTATTAATATGTAAGTAGACTTTCTTTAGTTTGATTGACTGAGATAAGTATTTCAGACATCATACAATAATAAACGTTGTATAACGCTTTTAACTTTTATTTTTATTACTAATGTTTTCTTGTAACAAAGGAAGATGAATGCAAGAAAACATTTTTGGAGGTTTTAGATAACTTCACATCTCTGTTGGAAAAAGTTCAAGGTATTTAATTGCAGAATAATTTTTATTATTAAGTACATGTACTAAAATTTGAAAAGGACTGTGCTCTCCACTGCAGTTTTCTATTTTTATGTATGGCTCCCAAGTCCTCTCGCAGCCTCTTGTTTCCCTGTTGGTCTTGAATAATGACTCTTACATACTCTCAGTCATGATTACATTAAGTCTGGGCTTGTGTTGAATTCATGACTGGCACAAATTCAGTACAACTGATCCAAATTATTGTGTTAACACTGACAAACTTTATTGCTTCCATAATCAAGTGAATGTACGAAAGAGCACTGTTATATCAATATATATGTGAATTTTCTTTCTGGTTTATTAATTGGCAGGGTGAGGTGAAGTCTCTGCCCCCCACTGTCATAAGCACTCACTTAGATCTTGTTCTCAGGAGCTTTTAAGTGTTCCAAGATCTAGAACTGTGACTTACAGTGATAAGGCATTTTCCATTGCTGGACCAAGGCTTTGGAATGAACTGCCATTTTCCTTAGTTTTAAAGAAAGGCTGCTGACATCAATGCCTTTAAGCGTCAACTAAAACCCAACTCTTCAAGAAAGTTGACCTTTAAAATTTGTTTTACCTTTTTTCATCTGTATAATGTCAGAATTTTTAATTTTCTAATGATATTTAATTAGTTTATATTTCTAGAGTATTCATTGTAAACAGATTTTGTAAATAGATTTTGTAGCATTGTGTTTTGCATAAATTATGATTTGTAAAGCATTATGAACAGTTAGTGAAATAACGCTATATAAATATGTGACCCTTCACGCGAAAAGGTGGCTTATCTAAATTTCACGCTGGGGCTATTTTCACGCTCCAAGGCGTGAAATGGAAAAATATTATTGGAATGTGAGTGAAATTTCTCCTTCACGCCGTGAACACGGCGTGAAAAAAGTCACGGCCAGAGTGAAATGTTTCACGCCGTGAAAAAGTCATTGCCAGAGTGAAAATTTTTCACGCCGTGAAAAAGGTCATAGCCGCCGTGAAACATTTCACACCGTGAAAAGTTCACGCCATGAAATTTAATCCTTGAGAGAAAAAATGACTCCGTTGTCTTTGCTAATGTGAANGACTTGTGCACGCTAGTCAGTCTGTGATGGTGCTGCAATGTCTTGTGTGGCTGTGTAGGCCAATATGCACGAGTGGCAGTCCCTACTGCACATGGCACAGATGAAGTAGGAGGAGGGCAAAGTAAAGTGCTCGACACTAATGCTAGTCCACTAGCCCAGGATTAGTAAAATTTCATGCTGGGCTAGTACAAATGTGCTCCATGCAACTAGCCCCAAGACCATTTAGGTTAGTGGAAAAATATATCTTCCAGAACTCTTTAACTTGAGAAGTTCTTTTTCTAAAATGCTTCGTCAATAGTCAGTTTAAATGTAAGCCAAAGGACTTGTTATCCACATCTTACAACTGACTCCAGTCGCAGCAGAGATGCCATGTTGGAAATGGAATTTATGTCTTTGTTTCCATGTCACTCAATAAAATAGGGGCCTGGGCCCAGGTGGGTGAGAGCCACTGTAGGTCTGTCATCTTGGAATTTATTTGCCCACAATGAAGGAGCTTTTTCTTAAAAAAAGCTACCTTTGAGAAAGCGTTCTTCAATGGATTTACCAAAGGGTCACTTACAGCATAAAGACAAAGGGGAGTGCGATAAGCGGGCAAGAAGTTTTCAATTCGATTCATATGGAGGAAGTTATGTGGACTCGAACAGTAGCACTCACGCTGAGAGATTAGCAAATCCAAACTCTCCTTTTGTCACAGAAACAGAAAATTTATGTCTGTCGTTTACGAGTCATAAAAATTCTGAACCCGTAGTACAGGCTACAAACACTTGTAAAGTTTCAAACCACCTCAATTTTTCTTGGACCAGTGGCTTGTCCTCATGGGCTAGTGATTTATCAAACTCACTAGCCCAATGCCTAGTCTCCAGAAGCATTGGTGTCAAGAACTGAAGTAGAGCGGTGTGCTTTTCTTCAGCTTTCCGGTGACGTTACATTTCATGTCTGCTTTCTTGATTCCTTTCACTGTCTGTCTCCAGCAGGCACGATCACTTGCAGGATCTTCCCAGTTGTTTGGATCAATTTCGCATGCTTTGAGGTTGCATTTGCAAGCGTCCATGAACTGCGGGGCAGGGCGCCTGACTTTCCTGACTCCTGTTGTCAATTGTCTGTATAAAACTTCCTTATTGATGCGTCCATCATTCCTGTGATGAACATGACCGAGCCACCTCAGGTGGCGCTTACTGAGGAGGGAGTCCATACTGGGGATGCCAGTAATGACAATTTAAGCTGGCCTGGTGGGGCTGATTGCAGGTACTATCTTCACAACTGGGGTCACTCTTAAACAAAACAAATACCAACTTGGTCAGGAAGAATCAGGAAGACAGTAGTTTTGTACTCTCAGTCAAACCATGTCAATACAGACACTTAGGGGGCCATAGAAAGTGTTTGTATTAAAAGGGTGTCCGTATTAAGTGAGTTGAAGAAAATGTAAGGGCTGTTTTTTTTTCTCCAGAGATAATTCAAACCGTCCATAATAATGAGGTATCTGTAAAGCGGGGTTGGACTGCACTATATTCTGACCCTACATAGCTACTGGTATAGGGCCATTAAAATTAACAGGAATTAAAGTCTCTAATGGTTAATTTTTAACAGGTCTCCCACCAGACTCTTCCTTTATTTGTTATGAACTTGCCATTGCATATAACATCAGTCATTTGCTGTTACGAGTGGAATCAAATGTTGTTGTCGGTGGATGCGACAAAAGTGCCGTTATTCTTCACAAAAGTCTCTCCCGAGGTACCTTTAAATAAATTATTGTACAATGATCAACGTTTCTTTTGCTCTTCATGTTCTCTTTTCCTCCTCCCTTATTCTTCCTAGTTCCACCTCTTTCTGCTGTATCAGGGGTTGATTTCTCATTTTCCTTTCTCCCCTCTGCTTACTGGTATAGTTGTATCTTCACCTTCCTGCTCCTCCTTTTACTCATCTTCTGTTCTTCGTCTCTATCCTCATCTTACCTGTTTGTTAAAACCTTTTTTTCTTCTCTTCCCGGTGGTAAGTCTTTTTGAATTCAAATCCCACCCCTCCTTATTCTTTTTCCTTCTTAGGCCCATAGGGAGGAGGAGTGCAACAGGTGTGCTTGCACCCCCCCCCCCCCACCACACCTTCCTACCCCCAGGCTTGGCCCCCCCCTGAAAAATCATGATGACCAGTAGACCTAGTGAAAAATATGAATTTACAACTTTTTTTTTCATTTTTTTTTTTAAAAAAACATAAAATTAATATTGCCATTCTCAAAAATTGTAAAAAAAAAAAAAATTATTAAAAAATTATATTATTTATATAATATAATATAGCAGACTCTTTACACGAAAAAGAAAAACAATAAACTATTAATTATGTATGAATAATATGCATTNCCTTCTTAGGCCCATAGGGAGGAGGAGTGCAACAGGTGTGCTTGCACCCCCCCCCCCCACCACACCTTCCTACCCACAGGCTTGGCACACTACTGAAAGATCATGATGACCAGTAGACCTAGTGAATAATATGAATTTACAACTTTCTTTTTCATTTTTCTTTTTAAATACACATGACATTGATATTGCCATTCTCAGAAATTGTAAAAGAAAGACAAATTATTACAAAATTATAGTTAATGCAGTCTCAGATAACCCAATTTCTTCCTTAGATACTTGGGCCCATTGCCTCGTTGGATCGCACCCCTGGTAAAAAAACCTGGCTATGGGCCTGCTTCATTCTTTTAACCCTCTGTTTCACTCTTCTTGATTTATGTTTGAAAAAGTAATGATTTTGTTATTATTATTATTATTATGAAATTATGATTATTATGTTAAAACTTGTTTTATGTAATCTACTCTATTTCAGCTCTTAAAGCCTTCCAAATAGACACTTGTCACCAACGAACAACTGAGGATGGGTTAGAACTATTTAGTGCATCCTGTAGAGAGGACACTTTAAAGCAGTTTCTGCCATCATTGTTTAAAGCATTTCAGGACCATAACATTGGATGTGCCCCTCTTGTGTTATGCTGCTGTCTTCTTGCATTTTTATGGTTGATAGATGAACAGGGTTAGTATATAATATGATCCTTAATTTTCATTACCTTAAGTTGAGTTAAGTTAGGCTTGATTTCGATGAGTGATATATTCTCACGGCTTTTGTTTTGTCCAGAAATGTTGTAAGGAGAAATTTTATTCAGGTTACTCATTTCTTTTGAAGAATTAAAATTCCACTTTCAATAATGTAAAAATGGTACATATGTGTGTAAATTTGTTGTATAATCTTCACAAAGCCGATCTGGATTAAAGTGCAAAACTTGTGTACAATACAAAACATTACTTGACAGCTTGATACAACTTTGCAACTGTTTAATTTTTATTAAAATTAAGATCAGATAAGTGATGAAGTATGTCGCAACATTTTTAGTGAACCAAGTAAAGGCTGTGGAACTTCTTCTCTTGATGCAAAGTCATTTGAAGCATCTGGCAGACAGTACAACATGTAACTCCACTGAAGAGGTGAGAAAGGTGTTGGCAGTGAATGTACTCACCCTGTAGATTTTCTGTGCGATAGGGAGGGTAGAGTTTTGAGGGTATTCAGTCAATAAATCTGATGAGTCCTTTCTGGTGATCTTCTAATGGGGTAAATTAAGCGAAATCAGTATAAAAGTAACCACTGACTTCTTGAGACAATCATGCATTGTCGGGTTTTGCATTAAATGTACCTAGGTGGTTTAAGAACCTTAATTGACGAAAGTGTTGGGGGTGTTATTCTAAACCTAAATCTAAATCTATATATGGTTTTGTCGGCAACATCCACGAGGGACATCACGCCGACTCTAAAACACTAAAAATATACAGAATGATAATACAGTCGAAGCTCTCCTTGTGACCGCTCTAGTAAGCAAGCAGCCCTAGTTACGACCACCCTTGTGAAACCCCGTTTGATCTGTGACATAGACTTGTAAGCGACTGATCCTGTAAGCGACCACGACTACTTCAATTTTGGATTACCCAACTGGGCTTTTCCTTTGTTTTCAAGCTCTCATAAGTAACCACTTAGAGTCTACGGTATTCATATAAATCAACATTTTAATGAAACTGGACACTGCGCAAATGGTCTAAAAAAATTGGACGTAAAGTTTAGCCGTGTCTATATCAGATATAGAGACAGTTATTAAACGTTAAGTTCTTTTGGGTTTTTATGAATTATGAATTATTTTTTGAAGCTCTCGTAAGCGACAACCCTCAATTGTTTTACCGCGAACCCTAACTAACCTTGACTCACTCGAGGAAACAAACACGAACTTAAAAGATAAGACAGATCTTAGAAATAACCTTCAAAATACTCCACAACAAAATTCACCCCATTGCAATGCTTGTTTCGTTTAAGGCATCCGAAGGGAGCTGTCCTGTTTACCTGTTTAGTCTAGAGTGTGTTCCATGCATCGATAACTCCATTGTAACTTCTTCAACTGGAGATTTAACAGGCAAGGCAGTATATATATCATAGTAGCCTGCGGAATAGGCGTTATTTTGTCGCGTTTCTAGGCAAGCCAGGACAAGCGCGAGGCGGTCGTGGAGCGACAGAAACGCACCACGAAAGGGAGGCGATTATATTATTTCACTTTCCGTGTCTAGCGCTCCATGCCCGCCAACATCCTCCTCACACTTGCCCTTGCTCGCCTGAAAAGCGAGAAAAAATAACGCCTGTTCTGCCGGCTAATATCATAGTTATTTTTAAGGGCACGAAACGTCTTTAAAGTTTAAAAGTAATTTATTATTCATTCAAAATATTTTTCCCATTCTGGTTGGCTAAAAGCACACGCATAATTCCCCATATAACCAGTTACTGATTACCAAAATAATTTGGAAGAATTTTGTGTTTAACGAGGAAATGACGTCAAAAATGCAGCGTTCTTGTAGGTTAATGCACCGTTAACCGAGAAGCCCCGGGGACGAGGTTGAGTTGTTTCGGTTGTAAAAACAAGAAATGGCGGACATTTCGCTCGTTTCAAGAGTAAGAACTAGGCGAAATTATAGCTAAAAACATGGCCAGAACAGAAAGAACTCAACTCGAAGGGCGACATCTGCTATTTGGAGAATATTTGCGGAGCTGAACAACCCTAAACGTACACTATCGAAGGTGAACTTAACATTGATGGAGGTAAGCATGTTTTAGCTTTGTTTTTTTTTGAATGAATAATAAAACAATTATTAAATTCGGCTTTCGTATCATATGAAGAATTATGGAGATCTCGGAGGGTGTTATCCGCCTCGGCCTACGGCCTCGACGGATAACACCCTCCTCGATCTCCACAATTCTTCATATGATACTCAGCCTCATTCATTAATTGTAAATATTTTAATATGGAAAAAGCTAAATGAGGCCACCAACGGGAATTACACTGCAGTGCAATAATAAAACAATTATTGAATTCGGCTTTCGTATCATATGAAGAATTATTGACACCGTGATTGTATTTTTTTGTGACTTATATGATTCGTAAGTAATATATCAAACATGAGATGCAGTGTTTCATCACCAGATGAAACACCGAGGAGAGAGTTGAAAATACGACGCGCAGCGGAGTATTTTTGACGAACTTCGAGGTGTTTCATCTGGTGATGAAACACTGTGTCGAATGTTTGATATTTCTTCTCAAACAAAATCATTTTTGAAGGAGAAATTAAGGATGCAAATACTAAGCAGTGTTTCATCCGATTTCCAAACACTCATTAAACATTAATTTCCTTTGTATTTTCTTAATGAATTATTAATGATTTGAGAATGTTATATAGTGCTTAATACATGCAAAGGTTGTTTTCTAGTCAATAATGAAGGCTGACAGTTTTAGACGAAAATAGGCGCTTTTTACCTTTTATGCGTCCACCTTGTTTAGTTTCATGTTATAGTCATTTGGTTTACTCATGTTTTCTTTCTTATGACCTTCATTACAGAGTAATGCTTTAAGCTTAAAAGTGTCTTTTATCCAGCTTACTTTCAGTCTGTGTCCTTGTGAACAAACTACAAATAGTCTTGATTGCATTGTTCCAAATTCATCGTTAGGCGTAGAGGTGGAACCATGGTGGTTATTTCTTTGAAACACTTTGGTGAGCTACTTAACAAAC